TGTGTGTGTGTGTGTGTGTGTGTGTGTGTGTGTGTGTGTGTGTGTGTGTGTGTGTGTGTGTGTGTGTGTGTGTGTGTGTGTCACATTTGAACAAGGAATGCAAATATTTGTGTGTGATTCACTTTTGTGGTGTAGTGTAACTGTTGCCATGGTGACCCTGTCCTCTGGTGATTTCTTTGTTACCTGACAACTTCTTTCTTTCTTTCACCTTATTTTATTTCCTTTTTACGTCCTAACGTCTTTTGTTCTTTTTGTTTAATTTCTTTGTTTCTTTCTTTCCCTCTCTTCCTCGCTCTTCCCTCTGTATCCTTGTTTAATCCTTGTTTAATTGTCCTTGTTCAGTGCCAGCCTACAGCTCAGGTTTCATCAGCTGCTCTCGTTATTAAGTTTATTTACCGAGCTCTCAGCTCATCCTCTGGTGGCCCTGAACTTGACTGTCTGGCTCTAGTTTTTGTTTGCAGCTGGGAGTGTCTGCATGAGTCTGCATGTGTACACAGTAAAGTTACAGTATTTCGTTATATTAAACCAGTTGTTTCCTGTAGACTTAGTAACAGGTCTAATACAAAAAAGAACCCTGATGATGTTGTTTTGTTTAATGTTTTTCTGTGAAGACCATATATAGAAATGTGCGGAGTTCAAACCAATTCACATAAACTCAAAACGCAGAAGAAAGAACATCGATGGAAATCAGAAATAAGAGCTTTGAGAGCACTCTGATACACTGTAACAGTTAATTTTAATTAATTTAGTTTTTAAGTCCATTAAATGTATCAACATGATCTTTTAAAAAAAAAGAGATAATTGGTGCAAAGAGTGTAAAGACGCAATTTCTGATCTTTAGAAATGGTTCTTAAAAATCCGCCCATTCATGTTTTTGCAAGACACCGTGATGTCAGCATCACCTGTATATGTTAAACATGTACAGGTGCATTACATTGACACAGATATCTGTGTATTATTGACGGGCTATTGATAAGCTCAATAGTTGCACAAACTTCTGGGTCTTTACCATATATTAAGATATATTGTCAGATTATTTATTTGAAATGCTCCAGGGCATGAATAGCAGAAACACCTGGCCAGAAGTCCACTGAAAATAAATATTTTCTTTGCAGTCTGTCAAAATTTCAGAATATTAAATCAGTTTTTACTCAAATTTACTTACTAAAAATTGGGCAATTAATTTGGAGTTGTCAAGTTGAAATTTTTACTTGCAGATGGCAAAATGTGTTTTTTTTTCTTTTTCTTTTTTCAGTAGCAGAAACAAGCCTCATTAGCTATTCATGTAGATTTTCTTTTAGCTAATTATCTCGTTTTTCTTGTGAGTTACCCGATTTTGTAGCTCTTTGTTGTTTAAAACTTAAACCCTTTATAACCCTTGTTGTGTACTGAGCATTTATTGTAATGTTTTGTGTGTATTGTGCAGGATGGTGATGGAGGAGGGGGGGCAGAGAGACAGAGGGAGGAGAGCTCCAGCAACGGCGCAAGCAGAGGAGAGGCGGATTTTCCTGGAGCTCGGTGAGCGAGTTTGAGCCTTCGTTTAACTCCTAAATGTTTCTTCAACCATGTCAACGCTTCCTTAAAAATAAATATACCTTCTTAGATAGATCACACTAGTTGCACTGAGACTGAGGAGAGCTATTTATTGATGCTGTGTTTCTTCTTTTGACAGGGGAGCAGAACTTTGATGCCATTTATCTGTCAACATATCGAACAGCCTGCAAGCTCAGATTTATACAGAAGAGATGCAACTGTGAGTCAGAACTGGCCTCGTTTACAACAGAAAGATGCGTTATTAAAATGATCATGTGTCAGTTTAGGCTGACGTAAAAGGGAAAATTTTTACATTGTGACATATTATAATAATAAAATGAGTGCAGAAAAATTTGATCAAAATCTTACTTTTTATTGTAAATAGTGAAGCATTGCACATCTTTCAACACTTATCAAACGATAAGATTCTTAAAGTTAAAAAGAATTTAAATACTTTGACTTCCTTCCTCTTCTTCCAGTGCATCTCATTGACATTTACAATGTGATCGAAGCGGTGCGGGACGCTGGTCTAAACGCAGTAGAGCTGAACGCTGGCATCTCTGTGACCAGACTGGAGAACCTCGTGTCCTCTCTGTTCAACCAGCTCAGCAAACGCCTGCCCACCACACACACCATCAACCCGCAGCAGAGCACCGTCCTGCTGGTCGAGTTCTTACTGGCTGCCATCGAGTGGTAATGATTAGGAAGTGGCAACAGTGAGATGTGGCCATCCACATCCTGTTGTTGCCTTTAAATGAGTGTCTTTGTCATAGTTTCACAAACGTCATCACACATGCTTTTGTTTGTGCCGTAGTGAGCCGGACAGCCGTCTGACAGTTTTCTCTGTAAAGGCGATGCTGGCCACTCTGTGTGGAGGGAAGCTGGTGGATAAACTCCGCTGTGAGTACCAGTCGATACATCACAACAGACACGAATCATTATCATAATTATTACCCCAATCTGCAGTAATAGTTTGGTGTGTTTATTGTTAGTGACTGAGGAGCACATGTGTGTTTGCTTAAACCACAGTATTTATAGTAGTGTGAACGTCACTCAGTGTGCTTGCTATTTCCTGCCATGTGCTACATATGAGTCAACTCAGTTTCTTTTGTACAGCCCATGACATGAAAACCTAGAAAACCGTGGGGGGAAGTCACTGACATATTAAAACAAGCGAACAAATAAAAATTCAAACTATACAAAAACCCTGTAAAATAGAGACTGAGGGAAAGAGAGGCAGAGCAATATGAGACGAATCAGAACACAGATGTGATATTGATGGATAAAGGGTACATCTGCTCTGCATAAACCTGATCACTTATTGTGGTTTAATCTGCCAGTTTGTACAGTGGAACTGTGTGTTTGGCCATGGTGACCCATACCATGAAGCTCCTGGTGCACAGTTCCTGTGCTGATGTTAATGACAGAGGAGGTTTGGAGCTCTGCAGAGTCGGGAGAGCCTTGGTTACTTTTATGCACCATAAACCACAAGTGGTTTGACACTTTATAACTGAGGTGCTGTGCATCTTAAACATTTTCACTTTGCAAGGATGCCACTTTGAGGAGGGATTAAAAACAGGTTTGTTACAACAGTGGCATCCTATTATAGTACCATGCTCAAATTTAATGAGCTCTTTTTTTTTTTAATACACTTACAGCAGTGGGACTGAAAACACCTGAATTCAAAGATTAAAAAAAGAGGAACAGCAGAGTATATAGAGTCGATACCCATTTACTTTCTGAATGATTTGGATCGTTTTAATCTTATTTCCAGCTGCAAACTGTCATTGTTGCAAATGATGTTCACTGTGAGAGGTCGACCTGATTGCTGATTGAAATAATGAATTTTATCTAGGTTTTCTTCAGGCTGTGGTGCACACAGTCATGTTAAAGTTTAACACAATACTTTTTTTTTGTTTATAAATTGGAGTTTTTTATATTATGATGAAATCCTAAAACAGGGGTGGAGAAGGTTTCTTAAAATGAAAAAAAAAACAAAACAAAAAACTGCATCAGTTTGTGCCAACAAGTATTGCATGATAAGAGTGGTTGTCCAAAATGTTAATTTTATCCAACTTGGAGATCTGGATCACTGACAAAGGTGTTACCTGTGGTCTGTCACAACACATCAAAGTAAGGTGGTTAATTCATGCAGATGTTCATCTTCGTATTGTGAGTGCACAGACTGGTGATTGCACTTGTTTTTGCTAAGTGGATGGTTCACTAAACTTTCAGAAAACTTTATTAAGTTGTAAAAAGCATATCCTCGATGTGGCCTAAAGCATTTTAGTACAAGCTTTGGTACAATTTACCTGTAGTTATATTTGTTTTTTACAGGAAATCTTTTATTCTGTTTATATGTTGCATATGCGCCACCTGGTGGACGAGAAATATCAGTGCTGCTGTTTGCTTATGCTTATTTACCTTCACTTGCGTTAGGGTCAGTCAAATTTCCAAAAATGTACCTGCTAACCTAATCAAACTCAGCTGATTTGATTTTTTTTTTAAAGAACTTTAGTAAATTTAATGAAGCCATGACCAATTTTACCTTCACACTATGAAAATTGTCCATGTCACAGACTCGAATTACATAGAGTGGGCAATAGAAAAAAGAAAAAAAAAACCCTGAAAATATCATGTGCACCTGTACTCAAGAAGTTTTGAAGTCTCAAAAATGCTTTAAAAATTAAATTAGATTTAAGATTAAATTAAAAAGCTCCAAAGTTAAACAAAAACTCAGTTGAGAGAGTCTGGCTTCTATACCACACTCACTGGTTTAATCTGCCACACTTACTGGTTAAAGTCAAGGTTAAGGGAGGCACTGGGGTTTGGATATGTAGTATTTTAAGCTGCCTTCTTCATTTTGTGTGTGTTTGTGTGCACACGCGTGTGTGTAGATGTGTTTTCTCAGGTATCTGACTCCAACGGTGTATTGGTACTATCCAAGTTTGATCAATTTCTGAGGGAGGCTCTCAAGCTGCCCACTGCCGTATATGAAGGGCCTTCCTTTGGCTACACACAAACCTTAGCACGCTCCTGCTTCCCCCAACAGGTAAACGCACACACACACACACACACACACACACACACACACACACACACACACACACACACACACACACA